AAATTTGTGACGTGCTCTGGTTCCTAAAGCATCACAATATCGATTTGTTTAGCCCCATTGAAACTAAAGTGAAGGCTAAGAAGTTTGGGAAGGTTTTTGAGAGTTTTAGGAATCAATGGTCTGTTATAACTAATTACAGCAAGATTGATAAAGGCAGGATATGGATCATTTGGTAGCCTACTTTGTTCTTGGTTCAGGGTGTGAGAATTGAATCTCAATGTATTCACACTCATATTACTCATAAAGCTACTGGTGTGTCTTTTTGGTGTACCATGGTTTATGGTCTGAATGTGGCTATTCATAGAGAGGAGCTCTGGTGTCATATGCAGGAAATCAGTGCCACATTTGATGATCCTTGGGTTGTGTGTGGTGATTTTAACAAAATCTTGAATTTGGGGGATAGAATTGGTTCTCCTTGTTGTTTGAATGAAGTGGAGAAGTTTAGAGACTGTTTAAGACACTGTGGGCTGATTGATTTTAAAACTGGAGGCTCTTTCTTTACTTATACTAATAAACAGCAGGGTAGTGATAGAGTGTGCACTAAAATTGATAGAGTGTTGGTGAATGAGAAGTGGTATGAAGCTTTCAACAACACAACTGCTGTTTTCCTTCCTGAGGGCCTTATGGATCATTGTCCTTGCATCATTTCCATGTTTGGGGAAACTGAGAATGTCAGGAAGCCTTTTAGATTCTTTAATATGTGGACTGGTTTTCCAGGATACAATGACATTGTTAAACAAGCCTAGACTACTGAGATTAGGGGCACAGAGATGTTCATTCTAGTAAAGAGGCTACAGGCTCTAAAAGCTAAACTCAAATAGCTAAACCTTGATCAGTTTTCAGACATTGAAATAGCTGATACAGTGGCTGCTAAAGATCTTCAGAGTTGTCAAGAAAAGCTGTGTTTGGATCCTGGTAATGAAAAACTCATTCAAGATGAATATGTGGCTAGAGAAAAATATGATACTGCCCACAAAGCTAAGTTCCAATTCCTGAGGCAAAAAGCAAAACTTCATTGGCTTAAGGAGGGTGATGTGAACTCTGCTTATTTCCATGCCTGTTTGAGAAGCAGAAGAGTGCATAATAGAGTTACTAACATCAATGTGGATGGAGTCACTACTCAGGATCCCTCTCTAATTGCAAATGCATTCATTGAGTACTATAAAGGCCTGTTAGGTAACTCTTCTGTGCCTCAACAGAAGATTCATCCTAAGGTCATTGAGGAAGGGGCTGTGCTTAATACTGATCAGCAGGTGGCATTATGTAGGAGATTTGGAGTTGATGATGTTAAAAAGGCTTTGTGGAGTATAGATGAAGATAAAGCGCCTGGACCTGATGGCTTTTCAAGTAAATTCTTCAAGACTTCCTAGGAAGTGGTGAAGGAGGATCTGAGTAAAGCTGTGTTGGGGTTCTTTGATCATGGTAATTTGCTGAAACATGTGTGCACTACTACTCTCACTTTGATTCCAAAAGTTGAAAATGAAACTTTAGTTACTCAATTTAGACCTATTGCTTGCTGTAATGTGATTTACAAAATCATTTCTAAAATGATCTGCTCTACATTAAAGGAAGTTCTGCCTGCTATTATTGATGAGTGTCAAGGTGCTTTTGTAGCTGGTAGGTCAATTATGGACAATATTTTAATCTGTCAAGATGTCTTGAAAGATTATAATAATAAAAGGAAATCTCCAAGATGCACTGTTAAGGTAGATGTGAAGAAAGATTATGATTCAGTTCATTGGGATTTTATTAAAGGCATGCTGGTAGCTCTTGGTTTTCCTGATCAGTTTGTCCAGTGGGTGATGGTGTGTGTGTCCTCTCCTACTTATTCTTTGATGCTGAATGGTGGTCTTCATGGTTTCTTTCAAGGCAAGAGAGGTGTTAGGAAAGGGGATCCCATGTCACCTCTTTTGTTTGTGATAGTCATGGAATATCTCACAAGGCTACTCCGGAAGGTGGGAAAACTGAGACAATTTAAGTTTCATTATAGGTGTAAAGGGATCCAGCTCAATCACATGATTTTTGCAGATGATTTGATGCTCTTCACTTATGGGGACAGGAATTCAGTGGGTTTGATTTTTAGAGCTCTGAATATGTTTAATAAGGTGTCTGGTTTACAGGCTAACTCAGAAAAAACAGCAATCTATTTTGGTAATGTAGATGACAGTACAAAGGCTAGCATTCTGAATTTCACTGGTTTTGTGGAAGGATCAACCCCCTTTAAGTATTTTGGGATTCCTTTAAACTCAAAGTACTTAAAGGTGGCTGTTTTTGATGTGCTTATTGACAAAATGCTACATACATTGGTATGTTGGTCAATCAGGAACTTATCTTACTCAGCAAGGGTTGTTTTAATAAATTATGTTCTCATCAGCCTTCACTCTTACTGGGCTTAGTGTGTCTTGCTGCCAAAAACTGTTATTCAAAGAATTAACCAGCTCTGCAGGGCTTTTTTATGGTGTGGGTCTGCTATTTTGTCTAAAGCTCCTCCTATTGCTTGGACTAATGTTTATATGGAAAAAAAATTTGGTGGTCTGGGAATTAGGGACTGTGAAAGCTGGAACAAGGCAGCCCTAGGCAAATACATTTGGCAGATTGCTAAGAAAAAAGACTCTCTTTGGGTTAAATGGGTGCACAATGTCTATATTAAGGATCAAGACTGGTGGAGTTATAAACCAAAGAAAGCTGATGGCTGGGCTTGGAAAAAGATTTGTAACGTTAAAGAGGAGCTCTCACAGGGTTTCAGAGATGAGAACTGGACAGACAACAAGTATTCCATTGCTGCAGTTTATAAATGGATGCAGAACAGTGTTGAAAAGGTAGATTGGACGGATTGGATCTGGAACAGATATAACATCCCCAAAACTTATTTTATAGTTTGGCTAGCTATGCTTAACAAACTCAAAACCAGAGATACTTTGATGAAACTGGGAATAAGTAACACTGATAGATGCCTTCTCTGTGATGCTGCAGTGGAGAGTCATAAACACCTGTTTTTTGATTGTCAGTATAGTAGAAGATGCTTGTTGTTAATAGGGAAATGGCTTGGAGTCAGAGAAATCCATTTTGATATTCAGTAAACATGGAAGCACTGGAAGAGATGTTTCAAAGATCCAATTTTCAGAAAGATCAGTTTTGCTAGTCTTGCAGATTTAGTGTATCAGCTTTGGTCTGTTAGAAATACTACTTTCTGGAATCACGCTATTCAGATTCCTGAGATCTTATGCCACAAGGTTTGCTCAGAAGTTGTAGATCGTTGCCACCAACTGATCAACCAGAATTGGAAAAGAAAGCACTGTCAATGGTTGAGGAAATTAAGGGATACTATGCCTTCTTGATTCTGTTTTTTTTAGTGGCTATTTTGTGTTGTCTTGAGTTTTCTTTGTTGTCCTATTCCTTTTGCTAAGTGCCCTTCCTAGAAGGTGCCTTAACACTTGAGTTCAGGTTAGGTTTGTACTGTTTTTTTCTCCCCTTTTCTGTTTAGATACCCTTTCTAGAAAGTAAGTTTTCAGAAAAGAGGATGAGGTGGTGGAGTGCCCTTTGGGGGCTGTGTAGTTTGGAGGTTACAGTTCTACTTCGTGTATTTTCTGTAACTTTTCTTTTCCGGTAATAAAATTACTTTCTTACCAAAAAAAAAAAATCGAATGAAAGTTAAACACATTCAAACAAACCTAATTGAATCAAATGAAAGTCAAACACATTCAAACAAAGCTTTTTGAATCAAATGAAAGTCAAATGAATTCTTTCAAGCTAATTGAATCAAACGAAAGTCAAACACATTCAAATAATGCTTTTTGAATCAAATTAAAGTCTAATGCATTCTACAAAGCTAATTGAATCAAATGAAAGTCAAATGCATTCTATAAAACTAATTGAATCAAATGAAAGTCAAACACATTCAAACAAAGCTTTCTGAATTAAATGAAAGTCAAATGCATTCAACAAAGCTAACTGAATCAAATGAAAGTCAAATGTGTTTCGGGGTTTTTTGATGTCCTACGGGAGAGTTACAATTCCGAGACTAGAACCGGACGCCTGTACCTGCAAAACAAACGGAGGCTCCGAGTGGTTGGAGCTCCGCCTCTGACGGTCAAGTTAGTACTTGTTTAAGGAGAAATTAATGCGGAAAGAAGGTAAAGTGTTTTCTCTAGGTGAGAGTAATAATTGAGCGTAACCCCCCCTAATGAGGATTAATGGGGGTATTTATAACCTTAGGAAGTGTGCCAATCCTAGGTTTAGGTTAACCTAGGGCTGATTGGGCTTCCCTTGGAAGTTGGTCCTAGGTGGCCGGTTTTTCCATTTGGCATGGAGGATGCCACGTGTCGTGACATAATAGGTCCATGGTCAACAAATTGGTGCGTGCCACGTGGCAGGCCCTGGCAGGTCCAATTAGAGGTCACTTGACAGGACCTGATTGGCCCACGTGGCGCATTCTAATTGGTGGGAGCAAAATCCCTTAATCATTTGCCCCTCACAGGTGGCACGTGACTGGTCACATGTCACCTGTGACAGGTGTCGGCTTGTAACAGGTGACGGCATGCTACAAGTGTCGCTTGGTGAGAGGCTGGGAGTTTTTCCCGCTAATTTTTGAATTTGGAGAGTCCTTTCAACTTTCCCTATATAAGGCCTGGTGGCTTCAAGTTATTTCACACTTGTGCAATTTTTGTAAGAGAACACTCAGACCCCTGAACCTGCTCTGACAAACTTTGACTTTGTTTCCTATCGCCTGCTCTAACAAGCCGGCTGATATTTGGATTACTTCCCAGATCTTCGTCAACTTCTCAGTCGTTCAGGTAACCGTCTGTTCTCTTATTCTTTTACATTTCTTTATTTTTCTCTTGGAAATGATATCTCGGAAGTACACGAAACGACCTAGGTTAGTGATCAGCCGGTCACCGGGGACGACTGAGTCTAGGACTAGGAGTGTCGCCTGCCCCTTTTCGAACCAATCTTTGCCCTTTACACAAAGTTCGACTGTCTCTGTGTCTATGCAGAACATAATGGCCAGAACAAAAAGAACAGCCAGGATCACCAATTCGGACGGCTCCTCCTTCCAGGTGCCGATTAGTAAAACATTTGACCAGACGCCAGATGTTGAAATGAACCAAGGCGGCTCGGCTGCCGATAGCTCTGAGGGAGGGATCAAGGTGGTCCCTTCCCATTTTACCGTAGACATGTCTACTCCTTCTCTCGTCCCTTCTGAAGGAGAGGAGGCGGGCCCCTCCGGGAGAGGGGAGGAGTCGGACTCTTCCGAGAGCGATTCTGATGCCAACTCTTCGGGTCGCCTTTCTCCTGCTCCGAGGAGAGGCACAGCCGCCTACATGAGGCGAGACTCTCCCATACAGTCGAGAAGGGGGACAATTGGGCGGAGCCATCCGCCACTCAAAGAGAGAAGAACACCCCTTACTACTGCACCGTTTTGAAAGGCCGAATCAAGGCCATGTCAGAAAAAATGGGCAGCTTCATAGCGGATCATGTAATGGGTCCTGGCTTTTTAGTTTTTGCGCCAGATCCAAAAGACACAATCGTCTGGCCGGCTGGGACTATTTATGATAGCGCCTGCTTTGGCTGCTATGAGGCGGCCATTAGGGCTGGTCTGCGTTTCCCCTTACATCCGCCTGTTCAACAAATCCTTGAAGGATATGAGTTGGGGTTATGGCAGTTAGCCCCAAATTCCTAGTTCAACATCCTCGGCTATGTAGCCGGATGTGAAATGTATGGGGCAGAGCCGAATTTCGAGGCATTCACCCATATGAACTATCTCAGCCGGACCCCTAAGGCAGGTGGTACTGGCTAGTTTCAATTGACGAGCCTTAGAGGCTTCCTCATGACAAGAGGTAAAGAGAACAAATGGAAGGATTGGAGAAGCACCTTCCTTATCATTGAAAGTCCAGACAAAGTGCTGAAGGAACGCTTCAATAGGTGGAACAAGGACCCGCCTCTTCTAGCAGGCGGTCGCAGCATGCCGCATGTCCCTCACAAAGCTAAAAAAGAGATCCTGGACCGAGGAGTCTTTAAAGTAGAGACTAGGGTCAACTCTACTACAGGGGTACGAGAGCAAGTACCCCTGAACTGTGTCCCAAGTTACAAATGGCTCTATGATGAGTACTTTCTGGCCGCTTGTGGCCTTAGCAGTCGGTGCTCTAAAGGTAGCTGACCTATTGAATACGTACTCTTGTTAAAGTATTTTTGAATTTTTCTAACTTTCGCGTTTCTTTATGCAGGTGAAGCCATGAGCAAAATAACCGCCTCCAAAACAGCGGCTGCTCTGCTACGAGCATCCGTCATGCAACAACACTCATCAGCCGATTCTCCCACCAAGGAGACGCCCTTAGTGAGTTCCCAGCAATTTTTTTTTTTTTTTTTAAGGTTGGGTTTATACAAATATTAACCATTTGTCTTTTTGCAGACGGACACACCAAGAGCTTCCTCCTCCCAACAGCCGGACTCCAAAGTCCAAAAAACGACAGTGGGGAGTTCACCTGGTTCTGCTAGGAAACAGCCGGCTGAAAAACAGCCAGCCACCCCGTCTCAAAATCCAAGTCGACCGCCTAGAAGTATGAAACTGCTCTTCTAGACTTTGACTCATTCTTCTTTCACCTTCATGCCTAATGTTTCTATTTCCTTTTGATGCAGCCGGCCCTCAAGAACCGGACCTGGTCAAAGTGGCCAAGTCCATGATTAAAGCCGTCCCTCCAGCAGAGAGAGACGCGGTCCGGGGTGTCGGCACCCTTGACCTAGATGGTATTACAGGGCTCCTTGCTGAGGTATAATTAGCGTATTTTTGCTGTTTATTTGTTCATGTCGTACATAATTTTGGAGCCTGACGCCTGCTTCCTCTTATAGTCCTTGCTGCGAGTACACAGTCTTCGCAGGCCAATTAATGCGAAGAACAAAGAGGTAAAGGCTGCTAAAGCCATGGCCGCATATGACTGTGACAAGGCAATGTTTCAAATTGCCCAAAATGAAATTTTGACAACTGATATTCTCTATTATCAGGCGCAGGCTACTTCCACTATTAGGACTGAGTTGGAGGCGGCCAAGAAGAAAAACGATCAGATGGAGGCGACCATCCAGAACCTTAAAGACGAGATGAAGCCTCTTAAGCTGAAGTCGATCCAGTACGACGACTTAGAGAAATCTTTAGAGCGCGTCAAGGATCGCCTGGAAAAGCAGGAGAAGAGCCTTACTGAAGAGCTCTCGGCCAAGGCCAAGCAAGAGAAGAAGGATTTGGTTCGAGACATGATAGAGGACTCGGCCCAAATCTAGCGCATGACCTGGACTCGCCTCTTTCCAAAGGCCGACTACACTTCTTGGGAAAGCAGTTTCGCCAATGCTCTGAAACGTATAACCAAGAAGTCCTGCTAGCGGCTGCCGAGGATAATGCGCTAGAGGAGGAGGAGGAGCCAATAGTGGCCTTGGTGCCGATTGGGGCAGATGCGCCTAAAAAGGGTGTCGAGACAAGCAAGAAGGATGCTTCTTAGAAGTAGGCGTCTCGTGCTGATCAGGCGGCTGTTGTTGTGGAAGATCTGCCCCCATCTTAAAGCTTATGTCTTCTTTTTTCTTTTCTTCGGCCTGCGTGCCGTCTGTTTCTGTATCCCTTTTACCCGGCCAAGGGGTCGAGGTCTTTGAATATTTTGCCGGTCTTTATGGTCGGTTTATTTTTGTATCTTTTTACCCGGCCAGGGGGCCGGGGTTTATGAACATTTGTGCCGGTCTTGATGGCCGGCTGTTAATATGAATTTGGCGACCATCTTTTGGTCGTCTTGATCACTGTTTTTTGCTAATTGAATTTTGTTTCATACTTATTGTGCCAAGTGTAGAGGGTCTTTTTGTCCGCCTGCACTTCATACTGACTGTTTTGGCTAAAAAAGTTTTGAGCAAGTATTAAGTACCGATTGCCTATGCCCCTGGACGACTGGTTGTCTTGGTTCCAGGTTAGGCAATTAGTCGGCCATTTACTTAGTCGGATCCCAATGCATTTTAGGAAACTCGTTTGGTTTGTAAGAAATACATCTTAGCAGGGATCATGGTACGAGAGCGTTTGGTTGCCTTTGGACAGGCGAACTCACCATACCTTTTTGAGCTTGAGTAGTAGGGTCACCAGGCGGCGAAGGCCGACTAGCTCCCTTGATTCGCTAATCTTTGCTGGCTATTTACTCAAGGTGTGATAACTCAGTAAGAATAAGCGGTTTATGAACACCTTTTTAAATTTCAAACCAAGTTTTAGGAGTGACTATAAGTAAATATGGACGGTACCTAGTCGTCGTCACTGTTGTTTGAGTAGTAGAGGTACCAGGCGGCGGAGGCCGGATGAACCCCTTTATTCGCCAATGTTTATTGGATATTAACTCAGAAGGTACCGGCTGTACTTATCCCCAGTAGTACAGTCAGTTATCCGATGTAGATGTTAACTACTAACACTCGTTGGACCAGTGAGAGTTATCCTTGTCTCAGAAACGGCTACGTGGTTGTCTTAGTAGACAGTCGTATAGGTGCCGTGTAATTAATTTATAGAACAATGTTCCACCCAAAAGGGAGCTGCTCTCTGCGACGAATTTCATCCGAATGGATGCATCCGGACGCCTGTTATGATTTTGGGACAGGTCGAATTAGTTTTTAAAGGTTGGATCAGTTGGCTTGGCACCTGGTCTGATCAATTCGGCCATAAGCCTTAGATAGTTCTTGGTGAACTATGTATGGGAGAGTAGCCGGTTGTATAGAACAGGCGGCATGCCCCTCTTAATTGAACGTGTATATAAAATGCATGGAGAGTAGCCGACTGTTTTTCCAGTAGGCATGCCCCTCTTAATACAAAATAAATGAATTGAAATAGCAAACTTTTATTAGTAGCTCTCGGCTATTTACATCATTCAAAAATAATACTTTTTGAGATTATCTACATTCCAGGTTCGAGGCAAGGGTTGGCCGTCTGGTGTTTCCAGGCGGTAAGTACCGTCTCGAACCTCTTCATAAATTCGGTAGGGACCTTCCCAGTTGGGAGTTAGCTTGCCTTACTCATTAGCCCTACCGACAGCTTCCATTTTTCTTAGCACAAAGTCACCCACTTTGAGTGGACGCCTATGTACTCTTTTGTTATATGATCTGGTCATTCTCAGGCTGTAAATTTCATGGCGCAAGGCTGCATTGCCCTTTCTTTCTGGGAGTGAGTCCAAAGCCAGACGCATGGACTCCCAATTCGCCTCTTCGTCGTATAACATTACACGAAGAGTCGGCTCATAGTGTTCAATTGGAAGAACAGCTTTTGCACCATATGTTAGGAGGAATGGCGTCTCTCCTGTCGACCCTTTTTCAGTCGTCCTAATGGCCCAGAGAACATGTGGTAGTTCATCTGCCCATAGGCCGCCTGCTCGTTCAATCTTCTTTTTGAGACCTTCTGAGATGATCTTATAAAAAGCTTCTACTTGGCCATTTTCTTGTGGACGGCCGACTGATGCAAAGTAGTGCGAAATACCTTGGTCTCCCAACCAGTTTTTGAGAACAGGCGTTTCAAATTGGGGACCATTGTCAAAAACCATGGACATGGGCACCCCAAACCGAGTGATGATATTTTTCCAGATGAATGAAATCACATCCTTTGTTTTGATTCCCTTGACAGCTTCTGCCTCTACCCATTTAGTAATGTAGTCGACTGCAACAAGTATGTACTTCCTGCCGCCTGTAGCAAGCGTATAGGGACCCAGGATATCCATGCCCCACTTAGCAAACGGTAGTGGGCTATGGATAGTAGTGAGATCAGTAGCCGGACGGTGAATTAACTTGCCAAACCTTTGACATTAATCACATTTTTTCACCATCTCCATTGCATCTGCTTCTAAAGTAGGCCAAAAGTAACCCTGCCGCCTACATGGGAAGCGCAGTAACCAGAGTGAAGATCTTCTAGAATCTCTCGTCCTTTTTCTGGAGTAACACACTTCAAGAAGGGTTGAAGGTACCCTCTCTTGTGAAGTTCTCCCTTTATCATTTCAAAACTGGACGCTCGCTTTTTCAGTGAGGCCGCCTGATAATGATCATTCGGCAAGGTGTCGTCTGTTAAGTATGCCCTGATTGGATTCATCCAGGTTGAACTTCTATCTAAAATTCCAATAGGATCTTCCTCAATGCTCCTTTTCTCCATAACCTCCCAGAAAACGGTTCTTGGAGTATCGCAGGAGGCCGAGGATGCTAACTTTGAAAGAGCATCCGCCTGGTTGTTTTCAGATCTTGGTACTTGAGTCAGTTGAAAGTCTTCAAGGGATTCGACTGCTTGTCGTACCGCCTGTAAATACTTAATCATTGCCGGATGGGTTGCTTCGTATTCGCCATTGTACTGACTCACTATCAATTGTGAATCAGAACAGGCGTCTATTTTTCTTGCCTTGGCCGCCTTGCACATGCGGATTCCGGCTAGTAAAGCTTCATATTCTGCCTCGTTGTTTGAGGCTTGAAAGTTGAAACGTAGAGCATACTCATACCTGTCGCCCTCTGGCGATTGACATATGATGCATGCTCCGCAACCATTTAAGGTGGAGCTCCCGTCCACGTATACCTTCCAGACTTGGTCTGGAACTTGAGAATCAGAGGGCCGAGTCATTTCTACAATAAGGTCAGCAAAGGCTTACCCCTTTACTGCTTTCCTGGGCTCAAATGTGACTTCGAGGCTCTGAATTTCTATTGCCTATTGATCATCCGGCCTGACGAATCCATGGTTGTCAGTGGCCGCTTGATCGGTTGATCTGTATACATAATGACTGTGTGTGCCAAGAAATAGGGCTTCAATTTTTTAACGGCCATGAAGAGAGCAAGACCGAACTTTTCCACTAAGGGATACCTCAACTCGGCATTTTTCAGTACGTGGCTGACAAAGTAGACCGGGAGCTGGCAGCTGTCTCTTTCAGCAAGAAGGACAACGCTTAGAGCATGGTCAGATACTGCAAGATACATGTAAAGCACTTCTTTGGGAAAAGGACTAACCAGCCTTGGCAAGGAATGTAAGTGAACTTTCAATTTTTGGAAGGCCGCCTCAGCATCCGGCCCCCATTCAAATCTTGCCTTCTTTTTTATTGCCTGAAAAAAGTAAAGGCACTTGTCGCCTGACCAGCTGAGAAATCTTCCTAGAGGCGCCAGACAACCTGTTAACTTTTGAACCTCTCGGACAGTGCGAGGCGACTGCATGTCAATAATCGCCTGCACTTTCTCAGGGTTCGCCTCTATTCCTCTCTGATTGATGAGGAATCTGAGAAATTTCCCAGACTCAACCCCAAATACACATTTCTTGGGATTGAACATGACATGGTGCCGCCTGAGTGTGGTGAATGTTTCTCGGAGGTCCGACAGATGGTCTGTCTGAAGCTTGGACTTAACAATCATGTCATCGATGTATGCCTCGACGTTCCTTCCAATTTGGTCAAAGAAGACCGTATTTATCATTCTTTAGAAAGTGGTCGGGGCATTCTTCAAACCAAACGGCATGACCGTGTAGAAATATAGCCCTTGATCAGTGACAAAGGTCGTCTTCTCCTGATCTTTTTTCCACAAAGGAATCTGATGGAAGCCAGAGTAGGCATCCATGAAGCACATCAAAGCATGGTCGGCTGTTGAGTCGACCAGACTGTCAATTTTGGGCAGGGGATAACTGTCCTTAGGGCATGCCTTGTTTAGGTCAGTGTAGTCCACACACATTCGCCAGGTACCATTCGGCTTTTTAACAAGTACAACATTTGCAACCCAGTCTGGGAAGTAACATTGCCGAATGAACCCTGCGTCAAGCAGCTTTTTAACTTCGGCGGCTGCCGCCTGACTCCTCTCTTTGCCATGGTTCCGCTTCTTTTGCCTGACTGGCTTCTTTTTTGGATCCACGGCCAGTTTATGTACCGCCAGGTCAGGACTGATGCCTGGCATCTCATGAACTTTGAATGCAAAGATATCTTTGAATTCCTTCAAAAGTTGATGAAAATCTTCACCCAGAATTTTAAGAGCAGTCGTCCCAACCCTGACTGTTCGGTCAGGACGCGAGTCATCCAGGACAAGGTCTGTATGCTCACCGGCCGGTTGAGGGCGGAATTCATCTGACCGCTCCTCTGCCAGTGATTGCTATTTTCTTTCTTTTCTTTCGGCTCCCAATTGGGCAGCCTTTCTTTTCTTGCCGCCTATTTTTTGAGCAGGCGCATCCTCCTTGACTTTTTCAAAGTCCGCTTTTTCACCACTTGGCCCAGAGGCCACCACAGTGGGTTTGATATCCGAGAGGTAGCACTCCCGAGCCATCTTCTGATCTCCCCTTAGGGAGCCGACTGTCCCATCATCTTTCTCAAATTTGAGCAGCATAAGAGATGGGATAATGACAGCTTTTGAATTATCTAGGGTAGGTCGTCCTAGGATCAGGTTGTAGGCCGAGAGTTCCTCAACTACTAAGAACCGGACCACTATGTGACGACCCTCCCTTTTCTCACCCAGGCGGATGGGTAAATCCACTCGCCCTACTGGGTGTACGACTCCTCCTCCAAACCCTACTAGAGGGTGGGATACCGGCTGTATGCAATCAGTCTTGTATTTGAGTTTTGACAGGCACTTGCTGCTGATAAGATCAGAGGAACTTCCGGTATCTATGAGGATTCGGCAAACTCTTTGGTTGGCCACTTTGCATTCAATAACAATGGGGTCATCATGCGGCCCTTTTACCCCTCCCAGATCTTCTTCTGTGATGACAATCTCTGGGAATGAACTTTTGGAGGACCGTTCTTGATGAACGGAATTAACATCTAGCCGCCTGATATTGTCTTTAGTGCCCCTGATAGTTGGGCCGCCTCCTGAGAAGTCGCCTGCAATTGTGTAGACGACTGCATCATCTGTATCAGAACTGTCGGCCTGTTGGTTCTTTTTGGTCGACTGCTTGTTCTTTGAGGAAGTGTTCCCCTTGGACTTCTTGACATAAGAGTCAAGGTCGCCTTGTTCAACCAGGCGATCCAGATAGCGCATGAGACTGATGCATTCGTTGGTTTCATGACCAACGTCTTCGTGATAATGGAATAATTTGTCTTGGTTCCGATTGCTCGCAGAACCCTTCATGGGGGACGGCTTCTCAATTGAGATCCGGCCCTTGATTTCGTTGAGGATAGCTTGACTATCCTTGCTGAATGCATACTTCGGGGAGTATGGTTTGAATTCTTTTTTCTTCTTCTAGGCCGGCTGTTTAGAGGAATCGGCCGCCCAGACCTCTTTTCTCTTTTTATCATCTTTATTGGCCGACTGCTTTGGTCGGTCTTCTTTTTTGTCGGACCTCCGTCCATCCGACTGCTTTCCAATACTACAGAGATCAGTCGCCTGTATATAGGATTCTGCTTCAATCAAAGCTTCTTGAAGAGTCGCAACCCTCTTTCGAACTAGATCAAACTTGAAGGTCGATCCATCCTTGAGACCTTTGAAAAAGTCAATGTAGGCTACCTCATCCGGCAGTCCTTGAATCTGTATCCTCATCAGGTTGAACCGCCTGATGTATGAACGGAGCCCTTCCTTTTCACCCTGCTGAATCGTCCCTAAATCAAGGGTTGTCTTCTTTGTAGGTATATTCATGGAAAAGTTGGAGGTGAATAAGTAAGCAAGCGTCCTGAAGTTGTTCACACAACCAGTCGGCAGGTTGCCGAACCATTGTTGTGCGATTCCTTTGAGAGTCGCTGGGAAACACTTGCACCAAGTGGGATCATACAACCCTTGGAGGTACATTAGGTTGGTGAACGCCATCAAATGGTCTTCAGGGTTAGTAGTGCCGTCATAGGCGCTTACTAGCACATTTTTAACTTTGGCCGGCTGAGCGGCCTCGGTAATTTCCTTGGAGAAGGCGGACGGTTGTTCTCCAAGTCTTAGCAACCGTAGTTGCCAGTCCAAAGGCTGGACATTTTTTGCCGCCTGTCTTCCAAACAGAGGTGGCTGCAAAAAATATTGTTGTTGTTGCGGTACATATGGCAAGTTTGGTACCGCCTGGTTTTTTATGAAATCCAGACCGGCAGGAGGTACTGCCTGTCTGACTCTCATGATTTGACTGAGTATACCTCATAGAGGTATTGTGCAGACTATCTTGGAAGTCTGAAGTGGAGGCCGACTCTGACAGTCGGTCATTCTTCTTCTACTCTTGGAGTAGCCGAGCGTCTGAGTATGTTTTCTTTGACTCGTCCGCCTGTATATGACGAATGGGCTTTCTCTTCCCTGGTGAGGGAAAACGGTACTTTGTCAAGTCAAGAATAGGCGGCTCCCACTTCCTAGAGTTAGGGTGAGGGGTCGCCTCTCGGCCTTGAACAGGCTTCCTTCTTCCTGAATGAGAAGGTTTTTTAGCCGACTGCTCCTTAGATAGAGAAAGCGTCTTCTTATTGATCAACTCTTAGATCTCCCCCTTGAACCCCCTCATGAAGGTCATGAGTTCGTCTCTTGTAATGGGGGCAGACCCTTCTGCCGCCTGTTGCTGGTCAGGCGGTGTACTGGCTGGATTACTAGGTCCAGCTTGGTGATCTACCCGTTCTTTCCTTTCGGTATGACGGATGCGTCAGGCCCTTAGGGTCCCGTATGAGGCTGTGTGTGTTTCAACCTCAACCTCAACCTCATCCTCAGTATCATGATCTGAGTAGACTTGAGGGTCGTCCAGTGGACGCCTCTCTTCTAGAGTCGGTACAAACGTTAATGCCATCTCAAAAGTACTCTCCCCACAGACGGCGCCAAAATGTTTCAGGGTTTTTTGATGTCCTACGGGAGAGTTACAATTCCGAGACTAGAACCGGACGCCTGTACCTGCAAAATAAACGGAGGCTCCGAGTGGTTGGAGCTCCGCCTCCGACGGTCAAGTTAGTACTTGTTTAAGGAGAAATTAATGCGGAAAGAAGGTAAAGTGTTTTCTCTAGGTGAGAGTAATAATTGAGCGTAACCCCCCCTAATGAGGATTAATTGGGGTATTTATAACCTTGGGAAGCGTGCCAATCCTAGGTTTAGGTTAACCTAGGGCTGATTGGGCTTCCCTTGGAAGTTGGGCCTAGGTGGTCGGTTTTTCCATTTGGCATGGAGGATGCCACGTGTCGTGACATAATAGGTCCATGGTGAACAAATAGGTGTGTGCCACGTGGCAGGCCCTGGCAGGTCCAATTAGAGGTCACTTGGCAGGACCTGATTGGCCCACGTGGCGCATTCTAATTGGTGGGAGCAAAATCCCTTAATCACAGGGTATCAAGACCATGTCTTGGATAAAGAAACACCTGTTAAGTGAACATTGAATATTTAAATCGAAAATTGTCCCTAATCGAGGTCATCTAACAGATGGATGATTGATGACCGCCATAGATTAGTGTGTAGTATGATTTACAGCACCGTTTCTTGTGCTGCGAGGACGTGACAGTCATAAATCATTTGCACAGGTACAGTTTGGAACTGTACTGGATAAGACCTATGAGAGTACTTTAATAAAATTCAGAATAGTCATAACACTACTACAAAAAGCATTCGTTTTAGACGCTTTTAAGCCATTTTTTCGACACAGAAAAGCGTCGCAAAAATCATTCTCGACTGAGTCGAGAATTTTGCCGACAACAAAAAGCGTCGCAAATCTCGACGCTTTATTTTGTCCAGATTTTTATACGATGTGTCGCAATTTGCAACAGTTGGCGCACTTTATTAACTTTGGCGACGCTTTTTCATGTCTATATTTTCTAATTTGGGGACGTTTTTTGTTGTCAATATTCTGTAAATAAATATCTAGATACCAAAATAAGATACATATTTTATTCACTGACAATTATTTCTAGCAACTAATATTACCAAAAAAAAAGATACACGTACAACAAAATTATGCCAAATATTTTTTATTTCATATAAATGTACAATATCTCATAGTAATGAGTTTTCTATTACAATAAATATAATTCCAACTTATACTTCATTCGTGACTAGTTGTAGTGGAACAAATTCCAAATCACTAATTCAAATCTTTAAATAACTAAAATATATATTTCTTCCACCCTTGAAATATTGCAGTGTTAGTTGTCCGCCCTCTTCTACCATTTCTCAATATATATATAATCTTTTTGATCCTGCAAACACATTTCAGCATATGCATCAATGAATACATCAACAAGCGAATCTAAATACAATAGTAGATCAAAATTACTAACTATACAGAGAATATAATATCTGAAAAATATTTTCCACCTAGTAATTTAAGCAAATCAAAATCACAACCAACTTTCATAACTAATTATGGAGTGAAGAACATACCAAAAGTATCAAGGCATCCATACACTCAGAAGAGAAGAGATCATTTGCCAAATTCTTAAGTTTTGATTTCTACAATGAATATTAATAATAGATGAATATGCAGAGCCATGATAGAAAGAGAAAGAGGATGGTGTGTACCTTTTTTCTTCTTAGCTATTCTCGTTACACGTCTAGTCGAAAGCCACAATTATGGTTTCTTAAGCTTCTTGGAAGGGGGAGTAAAACAAAGTTCAGATTGTGACAAAATGCTCAGACCTGCAATCAAAAAGGAAAAAAACAGCCATTAACCTTTTAGACTTTCTTTGGAGAATATATACCTTACCGCAGTATACCACAATTATGGTAACTCTTGATTCATACCATCACTAGAAGAATCATCATCACTATTCTTTTTTTTTTTTTTTTTTATGATGTCAATTATTAGAGTAGAGAAAGCCTCGAATCTAGCCTTAGTCTGACAATCTAGTTGTTAATACTAACCGGTTAAATTGTTTTCTTTTGCAGACGGGGAGCAAGAATGTTCCTTGCTCCCTTAGACACTTGACCGGGAGTGGAGCCCTCCCTGACTGCTTCAAAAAGCCGAAGGGTTCCGGCTGCCCCTGCCTCTACCGGAAGGTTGCCTGCGCCTGAGAGGCCTACTTCCGCAGGCAAAATCTTGAAAGATCTTAGCTTAGGCTCAGGGCCGACTGAGGCCAGAACTAGGGAGCCTGAAGTTCCCTCAAGTCGGGTGCTTGCTGTTGCATCCGGCTCCAATGCGGCTGGGGGTGATGTGACCCCTCAAAGGTACTGCTCTCACCTTTGATCCCCCCTGGCCGCTTAGGCCTATGCGAGTCAGGTCCTAAGCTACCCAATTAGGGGATTCTTCAGGCAGCCGGCAGAATATAGGCGCCGCATATGCTCAGTACTTAACCGATAAATCTATTGATGCAGATGCCTCTTCTCGTTGGCCGGATCTCCGAAATTATGCCTAGAGAATGCTGAGGACCCTTACCTGGTCCGAGAAGGAGTCGGTGCCGACAGTGCACCAGGTCAACCTTGACCGCCTTACTGCTCTTCTTGCTGAGGTAATTTCGCCGGTTAGGGTATTGAGAGCCAATCTGGCTTGCCACCGGCTGGTCTATACAATGTATTTTTCATTTTTTTGCCGGTTGCACATTATTCGAATGATTTAACCCTTTTTCGGTTGTTCTTGCATACAATGATCAAAATAGAAAGCCTTAAGGTTCCCTTGAGAAAGAAGCAGAAGGAGGTAAGGGATGCCCAGATAAGGGCAGCCAAACTCATTGATGTTAACTAATATATCTCCCTAATGTATGAAATCCAAACTAAAATCCAAGAGATGAAACAGGAGGAGCTTATCAAGGAGCTCACGGCTGCTGCTGATACAGCAAACAAGAAAGCAGCCGACTTTGAACTCCAAGTCAAAAACCTCCAGGCTGACGTCAAAGCCTTGGGGGATGCTGACAAGGACAACACTGAGCTGCGGGCAAAGGTCAACCGGTTGAAGAATGCGTTGGCCCAAACCCAGGAAGATATAAAGTAAAGCTGGCGGCTGAACAAGACCTGCTGGTTACCGAGAATGAGCGCAACTGTGAAGAGCGCATGAAGATATCCTTATCCATGATCCATCCGGAAACTGACTATGCTTTCCTTGACCTGTGGTACAAACACGCCACTGAGGTGTTTGATGCCTAGGTTCTCGGAACCGACAAGCCGGCTCCATTTGAAGAATGGGCCGGCATTGCCGAGGAAGAGGAGCAGGCAAAAGATCAAATGTCGGGTGGGGCTGACGAAGCCCAAGCCCAGCAAACTCAAGAGGCTCCTCCTTCCGGCCAGGGCAAGCTGTCACAGCAACAGCAACAGCAGCAGCAGTAGCTTTATTTGTTCCTTTCTTTATTTCTACTTTCGGCCTGCAAGCCGTGTAGCTTACTTGTATCTCCCTCCCCGGACATAGGTCCGACTAACAATCTTTTTATTTTTAATATATTTGCCGACTGAGTCGGTTCTGCCTTTGATATTATCTGCTTTAATTTTTGCAATTTCTGCTTGTATAAATCTTTCTTTTTGCAATTTGATTCGATACGTGCGGTATGCCGGATGCATTGGCTCTACCTGCCCCTGGACGGTTGTTTGCTTAGTATTATCCAACTCTAAGCAGGCAATCGTCCATACAATCATCCGGACGAATAGATAGGCAGTCCTTGACCGCATTTAAAATAGAATTATTCTAAGTTGGATTAGCAGGCGGCCATTGGCCGAACGTATGTATCATAACCAGGTTATTGATTAAATGCCAAGGTTTTGACCTTGCATAGTTCGAGTTTGTAACCGGTTGTAGTGCTTTGAGCAAAGACCCGGCTACATTCGACCAAGATTTGAATTACCGGCTGTGTTGCTTTGAAGCAACGGCCGGTTGTATCTTGGTTTCAATTGATCATTCAAACGACCATGAGTTATCTTGAACCTAATCAGTCGGTTAAAGCCGTTTGACTTATGATTTATAGAACAATGTACCACCCAAATGGGAGATGCTCTCTTCGACGAATTCATTCGAATGGGTGTCGCCGGTTGCCAACTCGTGTTGGAGTAGGCGGTTTAAAATATAACCGGTCATTGGCCTTATGAATAGCTAAGTTTGATACTTAGCCTAAGTCTACTCAGTTTAGAGCAGACGATTGCCCGGTTGTACATTTCACAGATGGGACTTTGTACAAAAGACAATGGAAATAAAGCATTCTTTCATTAATATACTCTATTTAAAAAATATTTACAAGTCCTTAGAAGTAGTACTTTTTCAAGTTATCTACTTTCCAGGTTCTGGCTAGCTGCCTGCCGTCTGGAGTTTCCAGGCGGTAGGTGCCGCCCCTAACTTATTAAAAAATCTGGTAGGGGCCCTCCCAATTAGGGGTTAGCTTTCCTTGCTCATTTGCCCTACCATACGCTTCCATTTTTCGTAACACAAAGTCCCCCACTTTGAGGGGCCGTTTGTGTGCTCTTTTGTTGTAGGCCCTTGTCATTCTCAGATGGTATATCTCATGACGCAAGGTGGCATTGCCCCTGCGCTCCGGGAGTGAATCCAATGCTAGATTCATGGCCTCCCTATTTGCCTCTTCATCATAGAGCATGATTCGAAGTGTTAGCTCATAAAGTTGAATTGGCAGGACAACTTTAGTGTCGTATGTCATGAGAAACGGGGTTTCACCGGTTGCCCCTTTTGAAGTTATTCTAATGGCCCATAGGACATGAGGCAACTCATCCGCCCATAGACCGCCAACCCTTTCAATTTTCTTCTTAATGCCGTCTTAGATGAGCTTGTTGAAGGCTTCAACTTGGTCGTTTGCTTGGGGACGGCCGACTGATGCAAAACAATGTGAGATCCCTTGATCTCCCAACCAGCTCTTGAGGGTAGGCAATCAAATAAAGGGCCATTGTAAAAAAATATAGACATAGGTACCCCAAACCGGGTGATGATGTTTCTCCAGACAAAGGAGATGACATCCTTTGTCTTAATGCCCTTGACCGCCTCTGCCTCTACCCATTTGGTGAAGTAATCTACAGCCACCAAGATATACCTCTGTCCGCCTGTAGCAGGCGTATATGGACCCAGGATATCAATGCCCTATTTTGCAAATGAAACCGGGCTGTAGATAGCTGTCAAACCAGTAGCCGGACGGTGTATGAGCCGGCCAAATTTTTGACACTTGTCACACTTCTTCACCATTTCCATGGCGTCTGCCTCAAGAGTGGGCCAAAAATAGCCTTGCCGTATGGCCTTTTTTGCTAGAGTTCTACTGCCTATATGTGATGCACAAAAGCCCAAGTGGAGATCCTCAAGAACCTCTTTGCCCCTTTCAGGGGTAACATACTTCAGCAGTGGCTGGAGGTAACCCTTCTTGAAGAGTTCCCCTTTGTATATCTCAAAACTTGAGGCTCGCTTTTTCAACGCAGCCGCTTTTGAAGGGGCGTCCAGCAAAGTATCTTCTGCCAGATAAGCCCGGATGGCATCCATCCAAGTAGAGCTTCGGTCAAGGACTCCAATGGGATCATGTTCAATGCTTCTATTTTCCATGACTTCCCAACAAACTGACCTAGGCGCATCACAAGAGGCGGATGATGCCAACTTGGACAGTGCATTCGCCTGATTATTTTCTGACCTGGGCACCTGACTTAGATGAAATTTGTCAAGAGTCCCGGCCTCATTTTTGATCGCATGCAGATACTTGATCATAGTCGGATGGGTGGCCTTGTAGTCACCATGGTATTGGCTAACGATCAACTGAGAATCTGAGCAGGCCTCATTTTTTATCGCATGCAGATACTTGATCATAGCCGGATGGGTGGCCTGGTAGTTCGAAGGTAATTTCCAGACTTTGCATTTCAATAGCCCACTTGAGAAATCTGACGGATGACTCCAAGGTTGTCATTGGTCGCTTGAGGGGTTGGCTAGTGTAGACCTCCACCGGATGTGCCAAGAAGTATGGTTTCAACTTCTTGACCGGGGGTACCGCAATTCAGCATTTCGAAGAACATGGCTAATGAAATAGACCGGGAGCTGGATGCACGACACTTAGGGCATGATCTGAGACGGCCAGATATATATAGAGAACCTCTCCTGCTAGAGGGCTGACCAGCCGTGGCAATGAGTGGAGGTGCTCTTTTAACCGAGAATGTACGCGACTGTGAAGAGCGCATGAAGATGGCCTAGTCCATGATCCATCCGGACACCGACTATGATTTCTTTGACCTGCAGTACAAATAAGACACTGAGATGTTTGATGCCAGGTTCTCGGAACCGAGAAGCCGGCTCCCTTTGAAGAATGGGCTGGCATTGCCGAGTAAGAGGAGCAGGCAGAAGATCAAATGCCGGGTGGGGCTGACGAAGCCCAAGCCCAGCAAACTCAAGAGGCTCCTTGTTTCGGCAAGTGTCAGCCGTCACAGAACCAGTAACAGCAACAGCAGTAGCTTTATTAGTTCCTTTCTTTATTTCTACTTTCGGCCTGCGAGCCGTGTAGTTTACTTGTATCTCCCTCCCCGGACATAGTTCCGCCTAAAAATCTTTTTATTTTTAATATATTTGTGGGCATATTGAAAGCAAAGGAAAGAAATT